ATGTTACCGGTGACATATTCGCGAAATCATATATACAATTATATATCACCAAATAATGTTACGTTTCTATCACGAAAGCGAGGTTTTGGATAGAGTATAGCCATGGCTAAGTATACTTTGTCCATTCCAAAAAGTAGGGGAGGTGGAAGCGAAGCTGGAACTAGACTCAGTTCCGAAATATCACATATTCGAACCCAACGAACCGACCTGACCGCGTAGCTCAGCTGGCAGAGCATTGGGCTAGTATTCCGAAGGTCGTAGATACAGAATACTATGAAGATCAGTAACAGAAGGGCCACTCAGCGGTGCAACGTGTGCTCGTTTTTTTATGCAAAAATATGCAGTTTACTGGCCAGAAGGCGGAGCAGCCAGCCAGTACAACGTGTTTATTGAGCAGAAAATGTCATTGACTGGCTAGAAAATATCACATATTCGAACCCGACGAACCGACCTGACCGCGTAGCTCAGTTGGCGGAGCATTGGGCTAGTATTCCAAAGGTCGTGGACACAGAATAAAGATCAGTAACAGAAGGGCCACTCAGCGGTGCAACGTGTCCTCGTTTTTTTATGCAAAAATATGCATTTACTGGCCAGAAGGCGGAGCAGCCAGCCAGTACAGCCTGTTTATTGGGCAGAAAATGTCATTGACTGGCTAGAAAAATGGCGGCCAACATGTGTAATGCGACATGTGCGAGGACATTTTATTTCTTCATGAACTTCATTTTATTTTACGGTATTTTTATTTTATTTTATTTTACAATCTTTGTCACATGACCGGTTTAACCCACAGAGCTAGTTGCTCCTTTACGGGTAACCTGCTAATGCAATACTGAAATATAGGTTAACACAGTGGATATATCGCTTCAAAATCGCTAATCACTGAGACGCTAGATTTAATGTGGTCCTGAGCAATTCTAATCATGTGGATCGAAAAAGAAAAGGAATTTAATTTAAATTTCACATGCTCACTAAAAAGTGATATTTCCACTGGGTTAACAGCAACTAATGACAACACAGTTTGACAGAAAGACTGGACAAGGGATGACACAAATGACACTTTACACACACTGTTTTAAACGTTTGTGGAACATCAATGTCGTAGACCTCTTCAACAAGTTTTTGGTAATATTTAAATAGGCCGCATTTAAATTGACTGACTAGTTGAGAGATTTGACTGCCGTAAGTGTGATGGTAAACAGTTAAAAGTCCTGGGTACGTGATCTGCAGTAATAACTGTTCTGAAATGTTAAAGTGTTTACTCTAGGAACTTGTAATATAATTTTTGCTGTTCCATCATTTTCTTTCGTCAAAAACTTCAAAGCTCATTCATAGTACTCACTTCAAAGCTCCGATTTACTTTATTTTCTCGTCATTTACTTCAAAGCTTCCGGCGTAAGTGAACTAAGTGTCCCTTCTATATGGATCTTTATTCTATGTCGTAGGTTCGATTCCCAAGCTTGCCCGGTGCCGCCCAAATTTGAAACAAAATCCGCGCCAAAATATTAGATAAATCCGCAATCCGCTGTATTAATAAGATCCGCAAATACGTGTAAAATATTCGCCAGATCCAAAATCCGAACAATTTTTTCTGTGAAATCCGACGATCCGAAAACCTATTCACCCCTCCCACTCAGAGTAACATCACAAACATCCTTCGATATCAATGTAATGTAATAATCATGAATTTTCTGTGTTGGTGTTATGTACTTAGGTGAATATATGATGTTTGTGATGCTACTCTGAGTCTGAGTGGGGCCCCTGACTGCCCTGAGTGACTCAGTGTATATCCACACCGGGCAAGCTTGAAAAATATGCCTGGCCACAGTGGGAATCGAACGTACGACCTTTGTAATACTAGCCCAATGCTCTGCCAACTGGCTAGTATTCCAAAGGTCGTAGGTTCGATCCCACCGTGGCCAGGCATATTTTTCAAGCTTGCCCGGTGTGGATATACACTCGGAGTAACATCACAAACATCATATATTCACCTGAGTACATAACACCAACACAGAGAATTTACAACCTAATACGATTACAGCCTAATAGGATCACATTACGAAATACATAGAAATTACAACAGCTTTTACCCAATTTAATATTACGGATTATATTACGACTGTCCAAATAGTGAGGAGGGACGCGTCCCCCCCGGATTGACGCTTTAAATTTAAAATTCATAGAAATTTATACAACTCCGAGCAGTGTCCTTCCGGGTTACCGAGTACCTTGTGCGCAGTGAGTTGTGAGCATCAATTTTGTTCTGTTCCCGCTGACAGCGTCAGAGATGAGTGACGTCATTGGTCACCTCCGCAAGAAAGGTGTTTTGATATCTCGAAAGTTTTGCTTTGATAGAAGTACAACGTCAAAATAATGAAGTAAATCCATAGAAATCATCATGGGTGGGTGTATGGGCACTTCCAGAGAGCCCAGCATTAATGTCGGCTCTGGAGATCCTCTCAGTACGTCGACAGGAGGTAGAGAGAATCATTTCGTTTTCTCCATAACAGAGGTTGCTATAAAAAATGGGGGCGACTCGAAGACATTCATAGCCTAATTTTGCTTTGGCAATTCTTTTCATTTCTTTGTAAGCTTGGAAGTATCACTGTTTTTGAATATGATTTCCCTTTGTAGTCGCTATCGGTCGAAATCAGCCATTGAGCCGCGAGAAACAGGAATGGAGTACAGAGGTGCCAATGACAGAAAGACAACTCCGTAGCAAGAGAGATGAATTTTGGGAGACTGCTCCAGCTTTTGAGGGAAGAAAGGAAATATGGGATGCTTTAAAAGCTGCAACTGAACAAGAAGATATCAGCATGGCACAGGCGATTGTTGATAGTGCTAATATATCTCTTCCAACAGGTACGATAGTTTCAAATTCATTTTCGCTGTATATTTATGAACTTCGGCATTTCATAATGAACGTTATTAAATAATTTGTCTATGAATATGATTTTTAAAACACATTTAGTTAATTATAAATATATGACATCAGGACGCTATTAAAATAGGTAAACATGGTAAATTTAATTTTTTAAAACCTCCATGGAAGAACTCCGAGATATTTGAGGATTTCCTGTATTAAAGTTTCCATTACGGAAGTTGGAAACCCGACTATTATATATTGAAGGCTTTCAAAATGGGTGCCACTGTTCTGCAGAGTTTTAAAAAGGGAATTTATATGGGATAAAAGACTAATTTAAATGTTAAACAAAGAATCTATTTCAAATTACATAACATAACATTACATAATACCGTAAACCTCCAAATATAATCCCCCAAAAATATATGCTCCTCAATCCCCATGTATAAACCCACCATATTCACTAATGCTCATTGCTCAGGCCATTCCAAATATAACCCCCCCCCCCCAATATAAGCACTTCAGTATTTATCAACACCCCAGTATTTATTAACACAGCGAAAGGGATTCCAACAGCTCAGACAAGTGATGACAATTACATTACAATAGTATAGAATATGTTAACGAACTTGTTTTATTATGTGTTATACTGTTTGTTTACATTTCTTTTCATTCACAGCATAGTTTACAGGTACAACAAATATTATAATTTTGTCCATATATAAGCCCCCTCCCTCATATATAAGCCCATTAAAAAAATGTTTACAGACGAATATAATCCCGGGCTTATATATATTCAGAGGTTTAGAGCATTACATAACATAATTTCATTTTCACTAGGTTCATTAACTGAAGCATATGATGAATTAGGCAACAATTACAAGGTGCCGTTATACTGTATAAACAAACCTTCAAATTTGATAAAAAATGAGGACATTCGAGAAACGACGGTAAACGACAATGAAGATGAGGAAAAAGATGTACCAACTGGTGAAGCATATCCTGTGAAATTTCGACTTTCAACTGGCAAGGAAATGAAACTTCAAGTCTATCCATCAGACACTATTCACAAACTTAAAAAAATTATAAACAAACGTGAAGGAGTTGCCATAGTTCGGCAGCGATGGTTTTATAGTGGCCGTCTGCTCACAGATAAAATGACTGTGCAAGATGCGGACATTAAGAAGGGTTATGTAGTGCAAATAATTGTTTCTGAAGAAGACAAAAGTTAAAAGCTTTGTTAATATATTTCAACTGCCATTATAAAGGAAAGATCAGTATTGATATCAGTCTATTAGAGGGCCACACCCACTCAGCTCAGATCAACAAAGTTTTCTTCATTTATGTAAATTTTAGTAAAAGTATGTTTATTATGTCGCTGCAATATACACCCTGCCGGAGAGTACTCAGCGTTGGCTATAGAGCCTCATTTTCATGATTTAAGATATTGAGTTTAGATCACTTTATCTTGTTACAGGGGATACATTTATGGAATCATACAGTTGTCAGAATAATATGAAAGACTGTTATATGATTCTGATAAGTCATCAGTAGCCAGGGCCGGAGCAAAGAGGCTAAAGGGGGGTCAGAAATTTTTCAGGACATACCATTTTTCACAAACTTTCCCATTAATGTATCATAATTTGTTAACTTTTTTCATAAATTTAGCAAAACTTTTGCTATAACTATTACTTTTTATTCCAAGCTCAGCCACTCAAATATTTTCACTGACTACGAAAACAATTTGCAGAGTCAAGCAGACATTTTCCGAGTCTGTGATGAATGGGGGTTTTACACCCCTCACTCAAGCTACGCCTCTATCAGTAGCAAGATAAAGAGCTCTAAATCTGATATCTCAATCCCCAAAATGAAGCTCTATTGAGCCAAGGCTAAGTACTTTCCAGAAGGGTCTCTTAATTGTGAATTTGTATTCTGGCATACGAAAATTACTGCTGATGCCACAATTTCTATTTATTTAGTTTATGGCAAAATTTGAAATGCAGAACCACTTTATGTGTGCTTATTCAATTACATATGCCAGAATACAAATCGTGCACAACAAATTACAGCACGTAAATGTGCCCTAACAGTCAATGCATCCCCCCTGAATTATTAAACTGACCAAACCACCAGTTGTATTATATGTCAATCCATCAGTGACACCCTTCCGGAAAGCAAATAACTTTGGCCTATAATGCCTCGTTTTCATGTATGAGACATTAGTTAAAGACCAACGTCTCAATATCGAAAATAAGGCTCTACAGCCAAACTGACGTGCTTTCCAGAAGCGTGTATTATACTGTACATGGTACTTTACATTAACATAACTTTGCTGTAACGATGTAAGCAAACATGCTTCATTTTGAAACGTGTAAAACTACGTGTGTTCTGCAAGAACGAATAACAATATGTACAGTAGGATTAGGAAAAGTTTTTCAATTGACATTAAATGTGTTTGCTGACTACCAGTGTTTTGTGTAGTTTTACCAATCTTGTATGTGGGTATAATCTGCAGAAACCCGAATGTTCATATAATAATCTGCAGAAACCCGAATAAGTTGCTTTCAAGTTATACTCGAAGGTCTTCTAGGGAACAAGGTATATTTTGTAATGGGAACATTGGAACCAAACGTCATAGAGACATAGTGAATTCGTATCGTCTTTTTATCATGCATATATGCGTGACTGGACAGTTGCTGCGTGACTGGACAGTTGCTGTAGCACACAGCACAGTATATTTGAAAATATGGTGTGTAACAACCTCGACATGTTTAATATTTAACCATGATATAGAGCACTCTGAGTATTTTCTCGTGAGAAATCGACATACGCTAAGACCCCCCCCCCCCGCTAACAGTAGAAGATTTCAAGAACTCGACATACGTTAACAGTAGAAGTTCCGCTAATCGCTATTCGAAAAGCAGAACATGTATGGTCAAGCAGATTTTTTTGAGGTGGTGTTGGACCTCTCTAAGGATGTGACGGTCACCACTAGATGGGGTGTGCATGCACCCCCTTCAGGGTTCGTAGTCTCCAAGACCAAAAAAATTCAAAGATTTTTGCTGCCTATTTTCAAAGACTTCAAAGACCTTTGAGAGCAATCAGCTGACGAAAAATTGCAAGTGAAAGCAACATTTTTACCCAATAATTAGTCCCGTCAAATCACATCCTAAAATGCGCCTTTTCGTCGATATTTGCGAAAATCTTGCTTCAATCAATCTATTTTATTAGCTAGGAAATCGTATAATCAAATACTCACTAAAGAATTTAAAGACTTTTAAAGATTTTCTTCGCTTTTTCACACAATTCAAAGACTTTCAAAGACCTTAAAAAGACCTGCATTCAAATTTAAAGACTTTCAAGGATTTCAAAGACCGCTCCGAACCCTGCCCTTGCACCCATACGGCAGATTTGCCCCTGAAACAAAGGTGAACCCAATGTGTTGAAGTGTAGCCAACTTCTAGCAACAATTGTCAGGATGTTCCAACTTTAACGCCAAACTGTGAGGAAAACACAAGCATAGTTTTCTGCCACTTCAGTTTCATCACTAACCGCCTAATACAAACGTCTTTGAATAATTTATTTTCAAATTTGAACAATTGTTTAGATTCGAGTGCTGTAAAATAGTTTGATAGGATATGCGGGATTAAAATGTCAAATATATCACTAAGATGTATCAACCAATAACGTTTGAGATTGTTGTAAATCTAACGTTATCATATTAAGAATATATACATATATTCTATCTATCTTATTCAAAAATATTCGCCAAGTAATCAGTTATCAAATTATGAGCTTACGTTTGCCTAAAAGATTAACCATTTATCAGTAAGCTTAGACTATAAATCTCGCAAGGAATATCTTTTGGACAGAACGTCGTGATTTCTTACTTATATTCTTATTTTGAGTCGTATGCAGTAAATTAACTGCCTAAAATGCAGCAACTTGATGCATGCATTTTAATTTGTGATAGCATGTAGTAAAAATTTTCACTAACTAGCTCAAATTTAAAGGTGGGGCTACAACATGTGTTTCTATCACAGAGCATTACAAATTATCTCGTTATTTGTTGGGTTCATTATAAAAACAATTAATCCGTGAGTGAATTATCATGGGAAGGCGGTGTTCCGTGATAGACATCAGGGCCATTAGGCTCAGATTTATGTTGAAGTAATAATGGCTCTTCTAAATGTTGATTTCTTGCGTAAAATAACTGCTGATCTCGTTTCTCACGGGCAAACTTTTCTTCTAAAATCTGGAAAACAGTAACAGAGATTAGCGCCATTACTTGTATGGACAAAATAGTCTACCTTGTGTCACAAATAATCTAAATTTCTAATCACGCAGGTACAAAAGTATTGTAGCATTTTCTTTTGCACAATGCCATTACTTCTGCTCCAGAACTCCCAATCAGGGGGGGGGGGCACCACCAAAGTGATTTGATATATGATACTCGAGCAAATTGTTCTTAGTGTTGGGCTGTATGGCGGGCAAAGTAATTGAAATCAACTGAGGAAGCGATAGAAACGCTCACGAAGTTCATGGCAGATTGATCGGTGACCACGCCCTTTTGTTGGACAACAACTCACCCTCTTCTCCCAATACAAAGAAACACGCAACGTTTCATTATAATGCGGTTGAAGTAGAAAACTTGCAATGGAAAACATGTATCCAGGCTTTTGGCCAGAAAGGCGTCCAGGGACATTCTAGAACGCCTTTGGACGCCCAAATTCTGGGGGAAAGGGAAATTATTTTCAATTATATTTCCGTAAGTATATTAATATATCTGAAACGAAATAGCTTCAATTCTCATTATTATTATACATTTGACATGTTGATCAATTTGATGGTGTACCTGGCTGAATGAAAATGTCATAATTACTTAAAGAAGCATAGCGGCACAAAATCACAAAGCCAAGTGTGTTTGAACAATTTCGAACGAGCTTGGAACAGATACTGACATGAAGTAACGTAAACTTCGACCCCCCCCCCGCCCCCCCTTTACTGTGGATGTATTGTTATACCAAAATTGGACGCCCTCTTTTAGGACCCTGGCTAAAAGCTTGCATGTATCTCAAACTTATTAATAATTCATAAGTAAATTAGCCAACCATGTTGCTTTATTTTGCTCTCATGATAATACTGGATACCTGGTGAAGTATATTGATCCAGTCCTAGAACTGGATCAAAATTAATTCAATCCTAGGACCGGATCAAAATTAATTCACCTCACTTTAAGTAGTGATTTACTCGCATGAGATGTAATTTCAAACCCTCCAATTCGGACTGGACTCATCCTCGTTCCCAGGACAACGCAGGCAGCCGAGAAGCCCTGGGAACGAGGATGGACTGGACTAGATTTCAAGTCCTCGCATTTTGATCCAGTCCTCGGCTTCGCCTCGGACTTGAAATCTAGTCCAGTCCTCATGGTCGGATTTGAAATATTACTTAACGGTCTTCACATACCTTCTTACGTGGTCCTAGCGATCTTCTCCATTCTAGAACTTGTTCATTATATTTCTCATCACGTTCTTTTAACTTAGCTGTCTCGCTGTCCATCAACATATATCTCTTTTCATTCTGAACAAAATTGTATAAATTCTGTTGTAACACAGTCGAACCTGTATTAAGCCCTCGGGGATTTCACAGCTGACCGTTTACACAGGAAAAAAATTAAATTTCGATTGATGGGTTTTTGAATCTGAAAACTGAACTCTTACCATTTGGTTATTATAGATTTCCCATATGAGAAATTAGTAAAAAAATATTTACCATTAATGGTACTTTATTTTTTCCTGGCACAGGAAAATATACCATCAATGAGAAATATTAAACGTCATGGTTTTTACCAATTTACCATATGGAAATCTACATTCAGTTTTTACAATGGTAGTATACATGGTAAATCTTTAAAAACCATTCAAAAACCATTAATGGAAATTTAAATTATTTCCTGTGTTACCCTTTGGAATTTCAATCCTAACCCTAACCCCTGAGATTTCACTCCTAACCGTTTAAATACAGGGGGACCGCCCACTCAGGTCAACTTTAATTAGTGTCGCAAAAGTAAACTTGGTCCTAAACAGGAGGAGCAACTATGATATACGCTCTTCCTAAATTTTAAATAACTTGAATTGGCTGACAATAGAATATAGGCTAATGAAACAAAAATCTTGTATAATGTTCAAAGTATTCCACAAATTAGGCCAATCTTATCTTTCACAGCCATTTAATCGAGCGAATTTAATTCACAGTTATGGTACACGAGATCACGACTACAATTTTGTTATCTCCAAACCTATCTCGAATATAATGGAGCAGTGGTATGGAATTCAATACCAGTTGAAATTTGTTATGTATATAGCTTTAATTTCTCATTCTCCTTGTAAATATTGTAAATAATTAAAATGTCACGGCGCCTGGGAAGATCATCTCATTTTGGATGACAGGCCTCCGTGCCTAAATAAAGTTCACTATCACTGTCACTAAGGTCGAAGAATGAAACTTTAATCAGGGTTCCCAATAGAAGCCGGTAACGATAAGCTATCAAATCCTACTTCATCATCTACTTCATTGTGTTAGTTGTAGTTATTTCCCAATGACCGTTTGAAACAGAAAACGAAACTGTGAAAGATTCGGTATGGGACTATGTAGAAAGTAACCCTGTGCCTTTATTAATAGAGATGTCATTCCAACATCATTTATTAAGAAATTTCTCGAGTTCGCCCAATAACAACCTAATAAATTCTTATTGCTAAATACAGTGCTGCATAATTCCGCTTCGACAGACAGAGATGTCTCGTACCTGTAATAATGATAATTCCTTTATTGCTGCATCTTGCGAGACTCGAAGTTCCTCTTCTTCTAATTCTTGTCTTAAGATCATTTTGTCATACTCAGATCTTGCTCGCTTTGCCTCCACGTCGTGAAACTAAAAGCAACAAGATTGTTAAACGATCCAATATGGCAATATCAATACCCCCTGGATACTCTCCTGGACGGTAGTCAAATTGTTAAATGGAACTGGACTTGGGAAATTAGGTCAAATCCTGTACGAGTCCACCAATTGAATTTCCTCGTTGATATACTCATTGCTTCGTTAAAATAAGGGTCTGTACTACTGTTAAAACAGGACAAATTGCTCTATTAGTACGCGTTTCAAGGCTTGAAAGCTTAATTTTCCATCAATCTTTTTAGTCCCAGGAGGAATTCTACTCCTTTGCACTGTATGCATGTTTTAAACTTGAATTAAATATCAGTATAGTCTGATCTGTTTGCAACAACTATATTACTTTGATTACATCGTGACTTCTGCAAAAATAAAATTAAGAGTGGTGGATTCAGTGGAAATATTTTAAACTATTAGCTGTATAATCTTATACGAAGCAATCTCATTTCGTTTTGGTAAATTTTTGGGATTCTTATGATGAATATACTTTATCATTTTGGGCCTGGACTCGAAATATTTAAGATTCGGATTGGAAGATTTTCGACAGGAAATTTGGCTAAGGGACTTGGACATGTGCTCGGACTTGAATGCATATAGGACTCGGAAACTGTGGACTTGACTACACTCAGGCCTCGAAATAAATCTGTAATGTATGCAAGTCATCATGACCGGTGGAATATAAATTTACCGGTCACAGCAGCTTTTTCGCCGGTCATCTTTTGTTTTCGTCATTTGATAATTATTCTAAGTAACTTTCTTAATAATTGGCGAGAAAAACGAGAACAAATTACAAATGTTGAATTATGAAGTTTTGTATATTCTTGTTTACACACGGATATTTCGTATTTGAATGGTGACAAACAAAACATGCATTTGTTTGCCATAACATATATCTGAGCCACACAGTTTTAATGAAACAAAAATCCATTCGTGTACGCATCTTTCCATTAAAAATTTAACCGGACATGCGTGTCCGGTTAGCGATAAAATATGGCGATCAAACTGAAAAATTTACCTATCAATGACCGGCAGTTATTTCGAGGCCTGAGGTCTACACTGCTGTTAGCATGTATCACAGAGCTAACTCAACTCATTGGGCTACCATTCCATAGGCGGCAGAAGACTGGTTCAGTTGGAGGGCTAAAGAAACTCTAGGCAGGTCCGGGGCATGCTTCCGCGGCCATGGCCGAATTTTGAGGGGAGGTGCGCACCTCCCCTGAGGTCGTTTTGCACCTCCCCTGAGAATATCTGCACCTCCCCTGAAAAGTCATGCACCTCCCTTTGGGAAAGTTTCAATAATACTATAATAGATCAAAGTGAAAATTTGACATTATTTGGTTGCTTAGGGTCTACAGTTGTAAGAACGTCTTTCTGTAAAATTAAAACAGTAATAGCCATTCATCTTTGTGCCAAATACCCTTTTAATACAATGTTTTAAAAGAAACTTTGGTGTAATTGTAATCAAGGGCAAAATTGGATGAGTTGTACAGTCATCATTCGTTAATACACTGATACATATATATTAGAATGTTAGGGTTTGTAATCCAAGTGAGAATATATACAATATATATTCTCACTTGGATTACAAACCCTAACATTCTAATATTAATTCCACCAAGTGAAGTGCAAGAATCCAAATTATTGATACATATGTGACTTTGGCCCTAACTTTCCATGTACTCCATGGGGGTCGTTCGCTAGACCGCTGCACCTCCCTAATAGTTTTTCCACCTCCCCCACTATTTCCACCAAAATCCGGCCTTGCTTCCGCCCCCCAACACTTCATATATATTATGATCTGAACTCCCCCAACCGCACATTTCGGATACACCGTGATCTGTACTACCTCCTTCAGTTTCTCTCGTTCAACGTCCAGTGACACTCTCTTGTCTTTTGTTAAAGTTTTTCTGAATTGCTGCGCCTTCATCTTTATATCATTCTTTTGCATTTTAGGTAAACGTTTTCTCTCAAGTTCTATACGACGCTTCAGTTCTTCTTCTTGCATCCTCGTCAGGTTCAAATGCTGCGCTATTTCCTACACGAGAGTTTGGTTTGTTTAATGGAGTTGCTTTAAAGAAGCTCGGATAGTGTTATCCACCACTGTGATTTTTTCAAGCTTTTCAAAACTGGCTGGAATAAGGCGTAAAAAAAATACCTGTGGTTCCGGTTCCCGACCGACCCTATTTTTTTTCTGCCGACCCTATTATTTTTTCAACGCGATTGACTGTGCGACCCTATTTTCTCCAGGTGGTTGCGGGCTGCTCATACAGCGTGCCAAAATGGCGTCTGTTGACACACTAATTATTGAACCAA